GTCTAAGTGAGGCAAGTTATGGAAACCCAGTTGGACCCCCTTGAGGACCATACACTCTCAATCTCAAAGGAGGGGCTCTTAGTCTCAAAGGGATCCCAATCTCATTGGAAGGCGTGCAAGCACACAAGGAAAATAAATCTTAAAAGAGTGAGGGAGGAGGAAGAGGAGCCAGAGCTACAAGACTTAAAAGAGACCAATGAAGAAGGGAGATGATTCTGATGATGATGGCATGGCATCATCATCATCATCTAATAGAGTGTTGGTAGACAAGAGATGATATTGTTGGAAGTCATGATGAAACCTTACTGGGCAATTTTTAAGTTCACGATCATTTAATTCTTTGTAATGTCATGTATTCATGTTTGTATGTTAGAACTTTGGATTTTGGAACTCTACAATGTGTTGGAATTTGTTTGGGCACTGGAATGTGGAATGTGTTGAAGTTGTACTTCTGAACATTCAAGTTTAAAGTAATGTTTGAAATAATTATGGATATACATTTATCAAAATTTGGGCAATTTTACATTTTAAACTTATGTGACTTTGTATTTTCTCTTAAATGGCTAATGGATATCAAAACTTGGGCAATTTTATAGCTTTATATTTCTAAAGATGTTTTATATTTCTAAAGATGTAAATTTTAGTTTATAAAATATTAGATTCTATAATTGAAAATCTCACACCCCAATTTACTCACCTCATCTTCACAATCCATATGGAAAGCTTTTCTGTTAAAAGCTAGTTGGTCCTGAATAAATCAGAAGTCTTCAGGTTTCATAAATAAGCTCCCCTCACCTCAAACCATAAAGAAAACAAAAGAAAGCAGTAGATAACTTGAAAAGAGTCTGAATATGCAATGTTCACTTCAGGAAGTATTCCTCCAAATCTTATAAAAACTCTATAAAGTCCAGAACACCAATATCACACCATCAAATTAAAAGCTTAAGAAATATATTTCTCTATGGTTTATTAAGCCAAATTAAATCAAGACACCCCTTAATCACAAAAAGCACTCAGCTGAACATTAAAAGTGACCTAATTAAACTCATTTGAGTCCTTTAGCACAACTAAACCAGGAGCAACTCACTAGCAACAGCCCACTAGGAAAATCAAATTTCATGACCAAAATACTATTATTACATACTATTTTATTGTTTAACTTAATCCACTACAGCTAAATAGAAGTAAACTTGTATGATAACACCTATATTACACATAGAATAAAACAAAAAACGAGATAACATTCAGAACTATGAGAATATATACAGTTTGCGATGAAGTTGCCTTGTGAAAAAGTTCTCTTTAAGTCAATTAATTATTAAGGGATACACAAACTCAACCTTAGTAACATACCCAAGCCTGTAACTTCAAACACTTAATTCCCCTCTAAGATCTCCAATATTAACCAACTTCTAGCCGGTCGATTGAACTTAGAAGTAAGTTTAAAGACTTCAAACACTCAATTCCCCTCTAAAATCTATGCATGACTAATGCAAGCAACCCAGTTTCCTACAGTTGTTTGCAATCGCCCGAGTTGTCCGTTGTTGACACCGGTATTAAACAATAGAGAAAACCAGATTGTTCACATTGAATACAAACCCCATAACTTATCTTTCTAAATAGGTTCATCTCTTTAAACCACAAAATGTATGTATACCCATTATCTTTCAGCTTAAAATAAATAGATCATCTGAACATGCAGGAATATTTGTTTTGAGAGTAGCTATATCAGTCCAATTTTGCAATCATTATATAATATTCATTATTAACTTCATAGAAGAATGGTTTTTAAATTTCTTTTCTTAAGCCTATTCAAATATATGTTTCATCAAATGAACTGAACTCAATTGCTTAATAAACAAATAAGATGGTTTTTATTTTAAAAATAATTCAGATTTTTTCAATATTTCATTGCTTCGCTCATTTGGGGCATTTAAACCCACCCAGCACCCACAAACAGGAGGAATTGAAAAACTGAACAGGAAAACTAGCTCTTCTGGTTTTTCCTCCATTGACAGAAATTTCCCAAGCAAGAATATTGGGAACAACCACTTCACGCACGAAATCGCTGATGAAGCAGCCAAAGACCAGAATAAGCCGGTCTTCTAAGAAAATGGCATTTTTTTTATGAACTTTACTGGCTAGGGAACCAATTGCATCTAATCAGACTTATCAATGATTTGCTTATCGCTTTCAATATTCCAGTAAGCCAAAGATTCAAGAACAATGCCACCAATTCATTTGACAGTCCAAGGACCCAATAACATCATGGGCACATTGTTTAAAAAAGGGACTTCCTAGCTTAGGCACCCAAAAGGCCCTAGGCCGCACGCCTAGGCCTGGGTGGCCCTCCCTGGGCACCCGTCCAGGCAGCCTAGGCAGGCACCCAGCACCCAATTGGGCAGGCGCCCAGGGCCTGGCCCTTTTTTACGGAAATAAAGAAGCGCCTAAGTCATTCTGACCCATAAAATATACCGCAAAGGGTGTTTGGGGGTATTCTAAATCCCCGAAAGTGAAAAAAAAAAATCACATTTAAACCCTAAACCCTATAAACACCCCAAATCCATTGATTTTGCAAATTTATTCGAATCCAAGATTTCAAAAAACGCTAGGCACCCAGCACCCAATTGGGCAGGCGCCCAGGGCCTGGCCCTTTTTTGTGGAAATAAAGAAGCGCCTAAGTCATTCTGACCCATAAAATATAGTGTTTGGGGGTATTCTAAATCCCCGAAAGTGAAAAAAAAAATCAAATTTAAACCTTATAAACACCCCAAATCCATTGATTTTGCAAATTTATTCGAATCCAAGAGTTCAAAAAACGCTAAGCGGTCCCTAGGTAGCTGACCTGGCACCCAGCACCCAGGTGGGCGCCAGAACCTCAAGCACCTAACCCCTATAGTGAAACTTATACAGATATATGTGCTGTCCAAATGCACATATACTCATATATTTATGTTAACTTGCAATTTTTTTTCATTTATATGCACTGTAACTAACCTTTTTCATACAAACAAATCGCACATTTAGAATAAACATGTTCAAAACTTCAAATCATAGAAAATTTCGTTAAAAAACATAAAAAGGCCATAAATTTGGGGCTCAGAAAAAATTTAACATTATTTTTTTGATTTAGTGAAAAAAAATCTCAGATTTGTTTTCCGATTGACAAAGATCTCAAAAGCAATAGATTTGGGGCTTACATTCCAATATTGTTTGAATTTGGGGGATTAAAATACCCCCAAAGGCCTTTCATGAAAAAACTATGGATCAGGGGCATTAACCTGCCTAGGCGCCCGAGTCGGCCGCCTGAGAGGGCCCCAGAAACTAGAGCCTAGGGAGGGCGCCCAAGCATAGGCATGCGCCCTGGTATCCATCTGGTGCCTAGGCTCTGAGCGAACCATATTTTAAGACAATGTTTGAACCAAAAAATAAGTCTAAAGAAGCATCAGAAAACTTACCCTTTATTATTGGAATTTCTTTTAGTGTGCTAATGAAGGTATTAGAAGACTTTTATCGTCTTTTCTTCTGTATTTCATCTTGTCTTTTGTATTGCATCATCTTGTATTGGACACTCGAACTTATTGGTTTTATACTTCTATTGGAGACTTGAAGTCCATGTGAATGTGTCTATGTGCATGTAGCTTTGTATCATGATTGGAGAGCTGGAGACTAAAACACTGTGGACTGGTTTAAGTTTTTTCACTAAATTTTCAATAATTTGAAGTTTTAAACGTGTTTCAACATCCATGTGTAATTGCGCATATATTTACATGAAAAAAGTTAGTTGGAATGCATATAAATGTACGAAGTACAAAATTAACACAAATGTATGCATATATATAAATTTTCTGAAAAAATTTCACCTAGGGCGCCTGAGGTTCTGAGCACCCCCCTACATACTGGGCGCCAAGCGGCTGCCTAGCATTTTCTAAAGCATTGCTTGGGCATTCTTATATTCCACATATAGAAGCAGCTCAAGCTAAGAAAAGCACTCCAGAGCCGTAAGTACACCAAGCTGATTTAGCATGAGATATAAATTTTGCGGAACGAGAACGAGAGGCAGCTGAGTCACGTAGCTCATAGGGCTTTTATTATTACGGCTCATACAGCTATTCAATACACGATTTCAAGAGCAACCAAATCTGGTGATTCAGTAGACTTTCATGCTTCAAACCTTGAACACGTGCTGGGGTTCTTCAAACCAGTAACAACTTTGGAAAAGAGCGAAATTACCTAAGGCCAAGGGGCAATGCTGCCATATATATTCTAATCAACGTGGAAGTGGAGGCAAAAAAAGTGTGATTCCTCACCCTGACATGTAATTAATCCCAACGAGAACAACTAATAGAAGAACAATCATATCGTACAAAAACTTACAAAATACATTTCAGACTGCTGCAAAGAAGCGAAGGTTAGAGTAACAAACAGAAAAGAAAAATGAGAATGAGTCAGCATAAAGCTTCTTATGCATCATAAGCTAAAGAGACCCATATATCATTGCACATTCAGTTTCCCGTATGACATTGCACATCTCGTATCCCTCCTAGATTACTCTAGTCACAGAAACTTTACATGCCTGCACAATACCATCGGGATTTATCACCAAAACATCAGAGCAAGTTTATATGCATTCACAATATCATCAGCATTTATTAAAATTCATACCACCTCAAAGTCAAAGAATTGCTTTAAGCAACAGAACTGTATGACATACAACAAGCTAAACCTAATTTAGCATAAGGATTCTAAGCATAATAGGCGCGATCACAGCCAAATTTATCCTGATCACTAAAAACTGCATAACAATCACCACATTCATTCAAATCATCGTATGCCATGGCAAAAAACATTCTATGTAATGAAGAAGTAAATCCTTCGAAATAAATACAGCATGTTTAACTATCACAACAGCAATACAAATGCAAAATTCCAAATTATACAATGAAAAGAATCTGCCACCCCCATATATGCTTTGTTACTAAACCATTCAGAGTCCGCACCTTAATTTGCAATAAGTTATCAGGAAGCCGTAATGAGCGACATTGTGATGGTTCATTAATTTCAGTAAGCTTCCATATCTTAGACTTCTCCATTGACTCGTCAGTAATTCTAGGCTTCACATCCCCCACACTTCGGTTGTCCCCATTCTGGGCAAGTCACAAGTAGTTAAGAAGTTACATGTACATGCAAGGGGGCCCCAAAGTCATTTTCAGAAAGAAATCACAAGGGGGTAGAGTTCATTATGGTACAATGTATGAACAGAATTCACATGAAAGAGAAGGACATGAAGAAAATCCCTTCAATCCATTGCTTCAAGAAAAGAGATACTTGACATTCTAACCCACTAACATACCAATCCAACCATAGCCACCACAGGGGCAACCCGATCTCCAACCCCCATGCTTGTTCCACCAGCAGCACTGACAGATGTCAACGAATTTATTGTGGGAGACTGAAACACAAATTTACAGATTTAGCAAAATCCATTAGTATTTATTAGAAGACGTACAACTGAAGCATTTAGAAGCAGTCACCTTTGCGACGGCTTCAGAATTTACTCTAGATGCATCAAAAGAACGGTTCTCCAGGGTATGCAACAACCGAAGCCCATCAGCATTTGCCAAAATTTTAATACCATTATCTGTTGAAGCAGCTAATAGCATCCCTTCCTTGTTGAATCGAATGCGTGGACTGGCCTGCAATTCAAGTAAGAGGGTTTTGAATGAAAATGTGTAATATCCATCAAATAGAAAACCTAAAAAAGAGGGGGAAAGGGCATTCTTAAGGGTGCATACTGGTAATCCGCCTTCCGCATCAACAGATATTAAAGGGTTCACATTGTCCATATCCCAAAACTTAACAGCAAACTCGTCACCAGCAGCAAGGAAACGATTTTTTGTGGTATCGAATTGAACAACACCCAACGACCGTTTCCGGAACCCTGCATATGTTCGCTTCACTACACCTTCACTTTCATTCCACTCCACAAGATACGAATCGCCATCTTTACTGGTTCCACATGAGAATAGCCTGCAAGTTTCCCAAGCCATAACCATAGCAACTTTAGTTAAGCATGCATTGTGGATTCATGAGTAGATCCATCACCAAGATGAAGTGGAGAAGAAATATGAAGAAGAAAGATAGGGGCATATAACAACCTGGTACCATCGGCATTGTACGCCATTGTTGTGCACCAATGACCAGGTGCATCATAATCAACCCGTGAACCCAAGTTGTCATACAACCATGCCTTTATCTTCCCATCAACAGCAGTTGAAAATATGAACTGTGAAACAAAAGGGCATACTATAAGATTCATTGGCTTGCCACAACTTCCGCAATGAAAGTGAGAAGAAACTGTAAAAAGATAGGATCAACACAAGAAGAGTTGAGAATTTAGGCATGGTGAACTGTGTGATGAGCACCTGAATGTTTTCCTTGTAATGTGGGCAAACAGAATAAACAGGCGCTTCATGGCCTTCAAAAGTATACTGCTTGTTTCCAGTAGCTGCATCCCACACCTACAATTGCTCAAATCATTAACATCCAACTATTACTTCAATTTTTTATAATATCATTGGCAACAAGACTCCCAAAGTCCATAACATCTGATAAATATATATGGATCTAGTGTCAAAACCAACCTTGATTGACTTGTCGTCTCCACATGTTATGATGCAAAGTTGCTTGTTAGGGTGGGAGAAAGCAAGGTCATTGACACCACCATTATGAGCATCAATCTACATTAAACCAGAACCAGAATTTCCTCAGGAATAAAGTCTTTTTTTTTTTGATAATATTATGCCACTCCAAAAAATGAATGCACCATACAGAAAAAAAAGCCCAATCTCCACAATGTCATAATCAAAAGCACAAGAAAATGAAAAATTAGGTCTAATTGATTATTTAAACCTCCAAGTGCGGGCGCAGATCATCACCACCATGATAGTAATATGTGTGTACAATGTGCTTGGAATATGCAACTCCTGGAAACAGTCAGAAACAAAGAATCTTGGTGAGTTATTGAATAAGCTCAGAAGAGAAGCACAAGCCTGGGTAAAATGGTAAGACATACAATGCAAAGAACATACCAAAAAGTGTTCCATCAGGACTCCACATCACACGATTGACTGATACAGAAGGATCTTTAACCAGCGCCGCCTGTTCTCAGTGAGATCAAGTTAATCATTCACTACTTTCTATACAAGCCAAGATTATCTAGATACATGAGAACTACGTGGAGATGGAAAGCCAGTGAGGGAATACCTGCAACTGCATCGAGCAAGCTCCAAGATCCCAAACTTTGAAACCTTTAGAAGCCAGTTTCTCTCTTGTACCAACCTCCCAAATCCCTAGGTCCCCCACATTGGTACCAACTGAAACAACGTCAAAAGAAAAAAAAAAAAGAGGTCACCAGTCAGTAGGATGCCTCCCAACAAGTGCAAGCCTATTGCTTAAGCTAGAGAACCAAAGAAGTGAACTTAAATAGAAACAAGGCCATAAGTATTTCAAGATCGTGAAAACCAACCAAGAAGTACAGTCTGTTGAACAGGGTGGAAATCCATGCTCATGACAGAAGAACCCTGGTTCAAAGTCCGGGCAACTGTCTTGGGCAAGTCTTCCTGAGAATATGCGCTCTGAGTATGGTTCTGACTTGGATAGGTAACAGGCATAATATTCACTGGCAGATTAACCTGCTCAAAATTTCAATACAATGTCATGAAACAAAACCCTACTTTGAATGCAACTTTCAACCAAAAAGAGGTGGAGGTACCCAGTGTGACCCATATCCCTAATGAGACAATAAAAGAAAGGACTGTAACTCGAGGGACAAAAAAAAATGAGTGAGGTGGATTTTCACCTCATCAGAAACCCCCATTGGCCTGCCCCTCTTCAGCACATGTTCAGAATCTGCAGTTTGGTAGTCCACTGCAGGATTATTAGTGGGAGGAGTCCTTGGACGTTTCAATAAAGCCGCTACAACAATGAAATCACGGCATAACCCCATTATTCAAAATGATGATGAAGAGAACCGAACCATAGAAAACTATCAAGCGTATCAAATCATTACGAAAACGGATAAATCTAACAACTAAACCATAGCAGTTCGGGAGAGTGTGAATTCTTAAATCATCACAATTTCCTTGTCAAACAAAAAAATCAAGTACCTGGGTTGGTAGCAGCACCTAGACCAATGGGGCCTCCGGAAACAGCAGGGTGGGGAACCTGGGCGGAATTGGCCATCCAGCCAGCAAGCCCAGTTGGAAGAGGGGTTGGTGTGGGTTGAAAGGGCTGGAGAATAAAAGAAACAAATAAAACTTAGCATCGCTACCCACATAAAAAGAGGCTTGAAGACATTCATATGGCACGTACAGAAAGGCTTCAACAGTAATGAATAGATGATCCAAAACACTATTATTCAATGTTATATAGTAGTTGTTATAACGGGTTATTTCCATTTTCCTCTCTATGTCATTCTATTATCTAAAATATGGCAGTTCCCAGTGTACCAGCATCACTATAAAGATTAATAGTCAGGAAAATAACATTATTTTGAACCATGACAAAAGGACTTTATAATTATTCATCAAAATGGGGAAACAAATTCACTTACAGCATGAGCCCCCAATGGTGGGAATCCTGCAGCTTTTGGAATGGCACCCATGAGGGTATTACCAGCCGGAGATGGTGCACGAGCGCCATTTGGTTGGCCACATGTGTGATCTACAAAGAGGGTCTTTATATCTGGGTTGGGTCTTGGATTCTTGCAAAGCTGGTGCTGCCAATTCAAACTGCAATGACACAAAAGAAGAAAAATACTAAAGAACTTCATTATCTCCATGAATGAATTGGATGAATTGCCTACATTACACTATGCAACCTATCATAACAGTGGTGGTTTGACAATTGAAGGTAAATGTCTAGCAAAAGAACCCCTGCTTCCAGGGAATTCACCTCTGATTGATAAGAGTGCGAAGCCGTGAAGTTTTAAGAGAGGGAAACAGCAGTTTGTCACGGAAGAGGGGATTCGCTTCAATAAGCTTTTTGAGCTCAACCAGCATTATGGTTCGTGCGGACTTGGTATCCCCATACTTTGAGAGCTGCTCATTCTCCCTGACAACCACAATGATGACAACTTCAGAATTATTCGTAGAAGGCAGAACAAGGAGCAATACATATATCAACTGATGTCTAATCTAAGATGCTCATTCTTGTAAAAGCAAATGGTACTTACTGTCTATGTTAATTTACAGTTAAAAGCACATAATTGAAGATCACTCCAAGTGGAATTACAAATATCATAAACACAAAGCAGAAGGGAGGATCGTGCCAATACCTGAAATTGTCTAAGGTGAGAAGTTGGGTAATTTCCTTGAACAGATCCTCATTGAATGAAGAGAAGACCTTCAAGTCTTTTACGAGAATTTCTACAGCTTTCGCACGGTCTTGCCTGCAAATCCCAATTCATAAGATGCACAATAGAATTACTAGAAGAAAACAGAACAAACAAATAAAAAGTAAAACCAATAGAAAGAAAGGAACAGCATCAATTGTGCACAATTCAAGGTGCAAAGGGCCCAAAAGAGCCCAAATCCAATTATTGGCCTTTAACAAAATATTCATCCAGATCTTCCCTTCAAACCAAAGAAACAAAGGGAATTGCAGTGTGTGGTAAAATACAAACAGGGAGAGGCCTTTACTTGTCCAAGGATTCAAGGTACTTTTGCTTTCTAATTTCAAAAAAGATCTTCATGGAATAGCGATTATCATCCACCTTTGTGAAACCAGACAGATACCTCTCAACCTCATCCCACTCTCCATTATGAACGGCATCCTCAAAGTATTTCATGTTGAAGAAGAACCCTGATTCCTGCTCCAACCTGCACGAAAACCCTAGATCAGAAAAGACACACCAAAGGAAACCTACAGAAAAAGGGGACGGGCAACAACTGAGACAAAAAAATCATGAAATCAATCCCAGACAAGCGAGAAAAACAAGAGCATGAATACTCACTTGTGAACAGTCTCCTTGAACTTCTCCTCATCGAGGAACTGTAGGATGAGAAAGACCAGCTCCCTGCTCAGAGAAGACATGGCCCTCTCTCTCTTCTCTCCACAACTCTCTCTCTATAGATCACAAACCCCACCAGATCGCTACGATTCACACGGAAACCTAAACACACAGAACACAAGAAAAGCACAAAAAACCTAAAAAAGCGCACACTTTCACAAATCTGCAAACCATGCACAGGAAAATCAAATAGAGAGAAAAAGAAGACAAGGGAAAGCTAGTGAGAGAAAGTACCGGATTTTGCAGGGGACAGGAGGGGATTTGCAGGGGTTTGTGATGGCGCTCGTGGTGGTCGCCCCACTGGATTGAACACATTTGGGGGAGAGAGAAGGTGCAGAGGGAGAGACGAGGAGTGAAAAGCTAACAAACAAAACTAAATACCAAACGAAAACGAGTGCTCAATGAGAAAGGCACCCCGATAAGCCCTTCGGCTTATGATAAGCTCTTATATTGATACGCGAAGGCTACAAGCTAGATAAGCGCTGTTATATGTGCAGTGTCCTCTGTCCGGTCGGGAGTTACGCCGCGCCCGGGATTTCCCGGCGACATGCGCGGCGTTTTCGAGGGAGCGCCGGCGGTGTGGTGCTGATGCCCATGCGCGGCGGTACGGACTTCCTCTCTGCCTTTCTCTCCTTCCTTACTTTTCCTTGTCATCTTTTTCCCCTCTCTCTCTCTACCTTACTTTCTCTCTCCTCATTTTAATGAAGAGAAAACTACTATAATCTTACAGCTGCTCTCTCTCTCTCTACTCTCTCTCCACTGGTATTAAATACTCTATTATGTCTGTGTATTCTAGAGCTCTCTATAATGTGTTTGTCTATTCTAGGGCTGGCAACGGCCTGGATGCGCCAGCCCGACCCTATCGGGCCAGAGCCTTGGTCCAGGCCTGGACCCAGGCCTAGTTAGCTTGGGCCGGGCCAATTAAAAATCAAACAAAACCTAAAATGCAGAAGGGGAAAGTCAGAGTCAAACCAGGCCCCCAACCCTACCTTCTGACCATGGTTGTCAAGTCTTTCTCAGCCTTAGGCCACGGCCCGAGCCCTAATATTTTATGCTCCCAGGCCCATTGCTCCCAATTTATGTGACTTTACCCCTTCTTCTCCCTCATTCTCTCTCTCAAGTGATTTTTTATTTTTTTTAAAAAAAGTGCCTTATCAAAAATAAGCAAAGCCTCACTTAATAACCCATAAAAATTTGTAATTGAAAACTTTTACATAAACATTATGGTTGCGAAAAAATTTAGGATTTCAAATTCTAAAAAAAAAGTATATATTTTAACAAATTATCTAGGCTGCTCATTTTGTCCTAAAAATAAATGTTAAAAAAATTACAAGATTTGTATCATTGTTTGAGTTTTAAATTTCATTGTGAGTGTTGTTGAAAAGTGATTTTAAAAGCGGAAAGTTCTTCAAATTTGAGAAGAGGCTTTATTTGGTTTTCCTAAACCCTATACAAATTTCTTATTCTCTTTCTTTTTTCCTTGTCCATGGTTTACTTTTTATCTCCTTGCTCCGTGTATTCCTAAATGAATTATGTGAGATCACTTTCCGTTTGTAACTCCTCTCTCTCTCTTGTTTCTCTCTCTCAAATAAATGCTAAAATGCATGAAAGTAATTTAAACACGTTATTTTTGCGACCTTTCCATTTGTTGCCCCTTTTGGAGAAAATGAGAGAGAAAAAGAGATGGATAAGAGGACAAGAGTTGGGCAGACACGTTCACACATCTCTTTTTAAGTAGGGCTGACGTCATACACCGGCTCTCTAATGAGCTCAGGCCACTCCCGCGGCCCCAACTCAGCTCGGCTCCCCCTTGCTTTGATGGCAGTAGAGGATTTGGAGCCGAGCCGGTACATGCTCTAAGCCGAGCCCAGCCTATTGTGAAGGTTGACTCGAGTTATTCTAACTCGGGTTAGGTTAAAGTTTAACCTTCTCATTCCAAATTCCATTCTCATCAATTCCATTTTATAAAATATTTTCCGATGATGTTTTTTCTTGAAACTGTTTTTAGGCCAAACGATATATGATCCCGCGGGAGCATACCCAAGGCTAACACCTTAGGACTAAATTTTTTGACATGACTTCGTCAACGAGTGATCTCAAATGAAAACATCTCCTTGCGTCCCTTCGAAACTAACAACTTGATGGTGGCTATCTAATTTTTTAAGATTTGGATTTAATTTTTTAATAATAGATTTTGGTGGGCTGGCTATAAACACTGTAGGTTAGAGGTGGCAATGGAACCAGACCTAACTTGGGTCTGGGTATAAGCCCAAGAATTGGACCTGCATGGGTAGGGTTCGGGTCCAAATATTGGACGAACACTATTTGGATCTATGTGGATCCAACCCGAAATTATTTAATCTATATTATTTTAATGATATTTAATTAATATTAATTATTTTTAATTATAATATTTAAATAATACATGTATATTTAACATAACATTTAAATATACTTAGATCTAGTCGGGTTTAGGTCCCATCAAAACCGATCGGAAAATATTTACTATATATTATTTTAATAATATTTAATTAATATTAAGTATTATTAATTATAATATTTAAATAATACACGTATATATATAACAAAACATTTAAATATATTTAGATATATGTTTTTAAATTTTTTAGTCAAGTCTAGTCGGGTCTGGGTCCGGATCCAATCAAATTCGAACCTGACCCGAAAGTATCTAATATTTTTTTTAAATAATATTTAATTAATATTAATTGTTTTTTATTGTAATATTTAAATAACACATGTATATATTTAATATAACATTTAATATATTTAGATATATGTTTTTTTATCTTTGGGTCAAGTTCAGTCGGTCCGAGTCCGATCGAACCCAAACCCGACTCGATTTGTTGCGTCCCCTAGCATAAATCAAGTACAACACTTGTTAGGAGGTGCGAATTGATTTAAGTGGAGTGCTTGAAAAGGGCAAGGAGTAAACCCAAAACAGTACGGGTGGAAGTAATTAAAAAATATTTATGGACTTATGACTTTAGTAAGAGTATGGCCATTTATATAGCCTAATGGCATACCCAATTTCGTATAAACTCCAAATTGTTGGGGAAAAAACTCTTTTGATGATAATGATGACTCACCTAGAGTGAATTTCACAATTTCTGATTGAGAAAAGAAGCCTAAATAAGTACCATAAAAAATATTTCTTAAGTAGATACTTGCCTCAGGGAATATATATACAATGTGCTCCTAGGGGATCACACTTTACGGCCAAATTAATATTAGTATTATGGGGCGGCTAAGGAAGTAGAGATGGGGTACATATCTCTCTCTCTCTCTCTTTCTTTAGTTGTAGACTAAGAGAGTTTCAAACTTCTAACTCGTTCATTCTTTCAAACTTCTATCTCGTTCATACTTTTTGATAGAAAAAGAGGGTTGGAACTTTTATCCTCTCTTTCTTGAGTCCTTGACTCGCAAGAGAGTAGAAAAGATTTCAAAATTCAACTTTCTCCATTTGGTATTATTTTAAAGCAAGAGAAAATGTTCAAATTTCAATCTTCAAAACTAACACAACATAAATTACCAATGGGAATGTAGGTGGCTTAAAAAGTTAAACTTGTTTAACATGAAATATATTTGAGTGCAGTTTGTATAAGGCCGAGACCCTAATCAATCAATATAAGGCGCACCCTTAAATAGTGTTGAGGTATATTATTTCAGTACCATAAATTTGTTTAATGGCCTGATAATTAATTTTTTATCTAATTATAAAAATTAAAAATTAAAAAATAGTGTAAATCAAGAAAATCTATGAATACTTGATGATCTTGAAAATTGATGGCCTAGATAATACATTACAAGATGCACTATTTTCAAGACTTGAAGTCTATTTTTCTCATGTCTATATATCTTGTGGTCGAGATGATAAAGTAGAGGGCTTTTCAACATCGTAACAACCTCTTCCAGTGAATTATTTAGCCTCAACCTTATATAAACTTTTTCCATTATATTTTGGATTGCAATCATTTATCCTTCTCTCTATAAATGAGATTCCACTTCTAATTGCTACAATGTTTTCACAACCAACAATGATAATAATTTTATCCATTTTTTTTTCCATTTGACATGCTAACGGTGGAGATGGAGGGTGAGATATTATGTTGAGGCAATCTTCGCCTAATCACTACAATGTTTTCACATGCTTATTGAAATACATATGTGTTGACCACCGAACAAACTTCCTCAATGGAAACCACATTTTACCTTTTCCTTCTCTTTTCCCCTCTGTTTTCTTTGGAGTAAAAACTTAATTGGTGATATGCTTGTGTGATTGACCCGTTTTGATTTTAAGCATCTGTAGAACGCGAAGAAAATATTGAAAGTAAATGTTAAGGGGTGCAGTTTGTATAGGGCTAAGGCTCTAAACAATCAACGTAAAACGTACCTTCAATAGCGTCAATTAATATGGTTTCAATATTGAAAATCTTTGTGATGGCCTTAAAATATATTTTTATCTCTAATTATAAAATTTAAAGCTCAAAAAATACTGTAAATCGCACAAATCTATGAAACTTGAAAATCTTGAAAAATTGACGGTAAAAAAAATGCATTACAAAATGAACTATTTCCAAAACTTGAATCCATTTTTTCCCTCATGTCCATGCATTTTTAGGTCAAGATGATCAATTTGAGGATATTTTGGACATCAAAGCAACCTCTTTTAGTAAAATTTTTGAGGTGCGCCCTAATTTGATTGTTTAGATCCTCGCACTTATATAAATTTTTTCCTTTTTTAGAAAGGTGAAGAAAATAGTGAAAGTAAATGTTAAGAGGTGGTTATTATGGTAAACCCTCATGCTACATTATGGAACGGCAACTGAACACATCGTTTAAATTTCTTTCATGGAAAACAAATTTTTATAAATAACTGTCCTTGCCGAATGGTGTAAGAAAATATGAATGTGTTATCCACGATAACTAACATTGTGTTTGAAGTTAGAAACAACGTTTGTCATGTCCTTTCCAATTATTATTAAATTCTTTCTAAAACTAAATGGGTATTCAATTAACAATAGTACTATCACACATATAAAGTTCAAAAAATAGAAAAAAAGAAGCAATATCACACTCGAAATATCACAATAATGTTGCTATATCCATTGTGTTTTAAGATAAGGGTGTGGTTTTTATAAGGTTGCAACCTTAAACAACCCAATTAAGCCCTGTATCTAAATTTTATCACAAATATAATTTTGATATAAAAATTTATTAGGATGGCTTGAGAATCTATTTTCACATCTAATTATGAAATTTTAAACTCTAAAAATGGTTCTAATCAAGTAGATCATGAATATCTTGAAAATGGACGGTCCAGATAATGTGTTGCGAGATACACTATTTCGCGGACTCGAAATCTTTTTTTATTTTCATATTCATACATCTCGATGTTGAGATGATCAATTAGAAGGTTTTTCAACATCCAAGCAACCTTTTATGATGGATTTGTGAGTTGCACTTTTATTTCTACATTTTAAGATTGCAACCTTAAATAAATGTTTTCCTTAAAGTAATGGCCAAGGTAATATTGTTTCGACATTAATTGCTGTTTATTTTGACCCTTCTATACGGGATACCATTTTATATCACATATGTTTTCTATGAGAAATGACCAACCACGCTTCATTCAAA